ATAAGCTCAATCATGCATATAAATACAATAACACACGCCAACATATTTAATTTCTTACTTGTCACATTCAATTACATAAACATAGGTATATTTCAAAATTCAATTCCCATTATTACTATTATAATATAATCCATTCGAATTTTCACAATATTCAACAATTCATCTTATATAAACATAAAATGGCATTTTCATATATACTTAATATAATATTTCATGAATTATAAATACTAAAAACATTTAAATAATTATATGAGAAAATTTAGATTTTCAATTACTCTCACCCCTTGAATCACATAAAAGGAGCACCCATTGACACAATTCAATTCCAAGCTCTCAAATGCTCTAAGAGATTTAAGGCTTGTTTGGTTCCTGTTTTCATTTTTTATTTTTAAAAATTATTTTGTAATATAGTTGTTAAAATTATTTTTAAAACAAAAAATCTATTTTTTATGTCAATTGAAAACAATTTTAGAATTACAAAATTAATTGATAGCAATGGTTACAAACAATTAATAGTGGTGATTAATAATAAAAAATAATTAATGTAACTATAATTTTTAATAATCAAATGTGGTGTATTTAAAAATAAAAAAATAAAATCAAAACAACTTATAAAGTTGTTTCTATTTTAAAAAAAACAAAAAATGATAATAGTTTTTGAAACAACTAAATGAAAAACACTTATCTAAATAAATTTTTAATTTTTTTATTTTTTAAATAAAAAGTAATTTTTAAAAACAGAAAATAAACAGGCCCTAATAGAGTTTAGTCTATAATTAAGCAACTCACAATTATCAATCCATAACCAAAACACATCATCTTCCTAGCTACTAATTTTAACTCAAAAATTCCAAAATTTAATTTATTAGATAATCTTGCTATCTGATAATTTCATTAGCATTATTAGACCTTTATGAGTCTAGCTAAACTCATTAACCACTAACAAAACCCTCACATTATCCATTTCCAATATAGAGTTTGTTCAAATCAATAAAAAATTAGATAAAATATCCAAATAATTTATAACCACTATTCTAATAACAATAATATACTTCCAAACAACTCATTTCATCTATCTATATCTATATCAGCCAAAACTTTTCCCTATGGTCCAAACAACTAGAAATTCTAAAATAAAGGAAATCTCAAATCTTTCACTGTTAAGAATTTGAAAATAAAGTGAAAAAAATATACTAAAAAAATATTTAATTAAAAAATTTATCAAGTCTTAAAAAGTTTAAAATAATCTTCAAAGTACCATATAATATAAGCTTAGCCTTTAAAATCTCTTCCTCTCAACACCATACTCTGTTTCACCAGCTTTCCTCTTCTCTGCTCGGAACTGCCGATGTGGGAGGGGAACGGTGGAATAAAATATTAATATGGGTGGGTTAACTTTTAAAACTCACATATGGGGGCCATATATATTTGGATTGTGGGTGGGATGTTGCGTAGCCCGTTTCTTCTAATTGCACTACTATAATTTTCCCTTTTCTTCCTTCTTTTTAACTCTATCCAGTGTGTGCGTGTGTGTATTCTTAGACTCTTTAAAATTGTAAAGACTATGAGTTAAGTTTATATTTTTTTTATTTAAATAATTTTTTATAATATTAAGATATTCATAATAATTTATTTTAATTTCACCTAACCTTATTTATTTATTTTAAAAAACTGTCTTAAAATAAAGTCATTAAATTAATTAATATCTAGTTTATTTTATGTGTTAGTTTAAATTTTTGGATTGTATACATGTCATAGTACTTAAAAAACAGTTTAGCTCGGAGAAGCCATTTGAAAACTTCTTTTCTGTCAAACCTGGGGAAGTCCAACTTGACAAGCTCTTTTTTTTTTTGCCCCCCTTTCTCTCTCTCTCTCTCTCGATCTCGACGGAGAGCCAATCTTCTCATGTCCAGGTTGTTCGAATCTTTGATTCAGAGTATCAATCGATTATAAAACCACTTCTTGCAACCTTTTGAGCCTGTGGAATCGATCTCTCGCTTCTACGACAAACTCGCTATTTTTCTTGACATCAGCTTAAAGTCCCTTGAATCTAGTACTCTCAGCCATATACCTCTCAATAACACTATTAATATCATGAATACAAACTCAAAAAGAGAGTCTATCCTAAAAGATGGGCATGTTAGACATGAGAGCTCCTCAAACTTTAGAAAGCTCACATCATTTGTGAGGTTTCTCCAGATGAGACTCATGACAAAGCAGCAGCGCGGACACACGAAAGGTTTTCTGGCCTTCTGCGACTCCGATGAATTGAAAGCAAAAGAAAGGAACGACAAGGAAAGAGTACAGCGATGAGGAAGGTGGCGAAGATCCAGAGAAAAGCATCAATAGTGATGATGCGAGCACAATTGTAACGCGTAGAGATGTAACCGACGAGAGGATAACAAAAAGGCTGAGGTCACTGTCTCTGATTTCATCTTTAAAGGTTTCATCAATAGCGGCTCCTCAGTCCTCTTACAATCTGTGTCTTTGATCCCATAGCAGAGGAAGCGGTGGGCGAAAAAGCTAGGCAAGCGGAACAGAAGAGACTGGCAGAGAGACTTTTTAAGGTTGACTTGTATTGTAATATAATGATGGAGAGGTGGGGAGGAAGATGAAACTGTACGTTGTGAGGAGGAAGATGAAGAATGAAGAAGGACCATTTTGCAAGGCAATAGTCAAAAATTCTTCTGGACATGTGGCATCAAAGTGTGGGCCCCATTTAAACAAATTAACAACATCAGCCCCTTGTCTTGGTTTAAGGTGACTGTGTATTTTTTTAAAGGAGACAATGAAAAGTAAAAATTTTATAAAAATATTAATATAAAATTAAATATTTTAATATTAAAACATAACAGAAAGAATATTGAAATTTGAGAATGTCAATATTAAAAAAAATTTAATTTAATATTAATATTTTTATAAAATTTTTATTTATCATTTTTTTAAAAAAATGTGAAGGTGACATTGTAGCTTTTAAAATGTTAAGGATGCTTAGGCCAAAAACAAATGTTAAGGACACTAAATATGTTTCTTTAAAACGCTTGGAGGCTAAAATATTTTTAGCCCTTCAATTAATGTACATTAAAAAAAATTGTTTTGAATTAGATCATTTAAATAATTTTAATTTGTTTAAATTAGATTTTTTTAAAAACATTATCTCAACATAATTATGCTACATAAATTATTTTTACTTAAATTCTAGTTTGCAAACCTCATATATATATATATATATATATAAACATTAATCTAAACAGACACATATCTAGTTTGCAGAGGTTCTAGCACGTCCCAAAACGTGAAAGGCAGAAACTATTGACATTTGACGAGAGGAGGGACGAGTCAGGACTCAGGAGTTGAAGTTTGGATACCAAAAAAAAAAAAAAAAAAAAGGTCGAAGCTTAGGGGCCGAAGTCGCAGGAGTAAGAAAAGATAAGGCACCAGATCAGCAATAATGGAGGGACTAGAAATTGCGATATTTATTGTTGTTATTATCATATGTATAGGACTTGGACACGTACGCACGTGATAATGTGTCGCCGTTTCTGTAGTTTCTACCGATCCACCCAAGAGGTGCTTTGAATTTGATCACTTGAAAATTTCTCACGTTTCTGTTTTGTTCTCCCGTTAATTCCAATTGAGTCCCACGGAACTATTATTGATAACTTCAAAATCTTCTTTCATGTTATTAACTTGGTGTTTGGATTGGATTGGATTTGAATCCTCCGTGTTCACAAAAGTATATCAACATTATTCTAAGAGATTATTATGGAAATACATAATTATTTTCCTTCACTTGGCAACTTTGATCATTATACTAGAAGCAACCCACAGATTTGACTTAATTAATTGTAAATATTACAGCCATGCACCTTCTTTTCTATCTAAACAAATTTGAATTTTTTCTGCTGGTTTTTTTTGTTTTTCCAAGGCATTTCCATAGTTAGCAACAGTAAAACTAATCCCTTAAAGCCAACCCGGTGCAAAGAGAAGAAGCAGAGACTCGAGTAAATTTTAAAAATAAAAATATTAATAACAAGAGTTAGTTATAGAGATTTGTATCTAGTTGTAAGGTGAATTAGTAGCAAAAATAAACACATATCCTACTCTGATTGAAAAAAAAAAAAAAGTTAAAGTGATTAAGTTCTCCATAAGTTAATTAAATGTTGAAATAATAAAATAAAGTAAAATGAGTGCACCAAATCGGGAATTGGAAATGGCATTAATATCTTATGGAATGACATGAAATATCAGGTTAAATTTAGATCCTCTCCACACTTTTTCGAATACTTGTCTCTATGCTTAATCACCTCCGCACTTTCTTAATTATTTATTTGGCATGGAAATAAATATATTCTCCATGTTATGATTTGACTTTCAAAAACATTAAAATGATAATAATAAATAGTATATATTTTAATGTCATAATTAACCATCTTACACTATGAAACCAAATAAATAATTAAGTGTACAGAGGTGATAGAAGGATGGAGACAAGTATCGAGAGAGGGTACAACGAGAGCATCTAAATCCGAGCTATTAGTATCAGGACAATGGGACCTCCTGGCTCTCCTATGTTGACTGATCACTCTGATTTGTATTCCCGAGAACGGGCAAGCTGAAAAGTTTGCGAAACATGCAATAAATTAAAAAAATGGTCACCCACGGACATGTAAATGGAGGGGGATATGTATGTTGGACCCTATCTTCACAAATCTTGACTTTTGATGTTGCGTGCCGACGCATCTGACTACAAGAAACAAAGAGGCTCGCGTCATCACAGATGTGATTGGTTTCAATGCTCATGTTCATATTAAAATTTAAAATATCATTGTATTTTATATTTATTAAAATAAAAATTATAAGATAATTTTTTTAAATTTAATATGATTTAAATTTAATTTTGGAAGACTCAATTTAATATTAAAAATTTTATAATTAAATTTTATAGATTATTTAAATATATTTTATATAATTGAGATTAACATGTTGCGATCAGCACTGAAATCAATTTCTTCCAACCTCACTTCTCTATAAGTGCCGACCTTCTCTTCTCCTCCCCCTCATGCACATCAAGCTCAGTGCTCTTCTCTTACTATCATCACTCTGAGCAAATCATGGAGAGCAAGTCACTTGTTGCCGTCTTTTCCATTCTCATCCTTCTCTTCACTGCTCGTAAGTAGTCCATCATGTATCATTTAGTTAGTTCTTCTTCATTTATATATTATAGATACGAATGGATATAATGATGTGATGCGTACACCGTATGTGCAGAAGAAATGGTGGTGAAGACGGAGGGGAAGACATGCGAGAAGCCGAGCAAGTTCTTCTCGGGAGGATGCATTGGGACGACCGCAACAAACAGTGCGACTATCTCTGCAGGAGAGGCGAAGGACTGCTCAGTGGCGCCTGCAAGGGCCTCAAGTGTGTCTGCACCAAATCCTGCTGATCATAACCTCTTCATCATATGGCATGTATGTGTATCATCATACTTAAATAATTCACACACACACACACACACACACACACACACACACAGAGGTCCGTACATAGTTAACGACGTGTTTGATGAAATAAGCTCTCATTTCGGCTATCTCTGATCTTCTGTGGGGACAGTTGAAATAGGTTGCAGATGCATGAGAATGCTAGCTAGCTTACCCGCTGGCCTTTATATGCTCTCTAGCTCTCACTGTGTAATACAGTTTATATTTTGAAGCCGCCCTTTCTTAATTATGACTTGCTCATTCCATCTCCATATATAAGATGATTTTGATTGAATCTCATATATCAATAAACATTTGTCAATTAGATGACATAAAGCTGCGACAATTTTTTAATTTTACCTTTAATTAATATTATAGTAGTTGGTTGAAAACACGATTAATATCTCATCCAATTTTCAAGGTGAGGACTGAAACAGTCTAGCTAATTACTCAATATTAGTATCAATATATCATTATAAATATATAACGAGATATATTTATAAACAGAACACTGACTAGTTAAACTTAATTACTCAAATTTTATATATAATATAGTCATACATATATTAGCCATATCGATACCAGTTTCTTATAATAAGACCACGTTACGACTTACAACATTTTCCATACATCGACGCGAGGGCTTTAAGGATGAATTTCAAATTTCAATAATAGTATGACTTATTATAGATTTTATCGTGGCACTTTTTCAATGCAGGATGGTACATATATGTAATATTACTCTAAAAAAATGGGGCCGTTGATGAGGACTGATTTAGTGTGCCGAAGTAGATGTCTTAAGCAAAACATTTGGCCTTAAATTTTAATCAAAAGCGACTATATGATCTCATGGATAATTCTAAAAGAAAAAAGGTATCGTTAATTGTAAAGATTATTTATACATGTACACGATTATTGATTGTAAAGATTGATTAAATGAGTAAAAATATAACTCATACCCCAGCAAATTAAAAGCAGGTAGCTAGGGGTTCAAATTCCATAATGCTAAGGGGCTTTGTTGATAGATAATATATAAATATCTTTGCAAATTAAACATGCTTGTCTTGGTGGGGGTTTTTTTTTAAGTAAAACTTATCTTAATTAAACTCATAAATGGCCAAAAAAATAGTATGATTATTAAAAGGATACAGAAGTTGTTATTACATGCAATCGAACTGAGACAGCTGATATTGAAAATGGTTGATGCAAATTAGAAATGTTTAATCATTAAAACTTGAATGATAGATACAATTCAAACCTTTACATTGCAAGTTTCTTTCAGTCAAGCGCCAATTTTAAAATCAAAAGACTTTTGATAACACTAACAAGAAAAAAAAATAAAGAAATAGAACTCTAACAATACTTGAATATTTTTGCAGAGGTTTTTTTTGTCATAACGGGAACAATTTATGTCTTATTATGAAATTCTCATTTATAAGTCTTTTATTTAGGCCAACATTTATCACATTCTGTTCAATACATCGAACACGTGTCTAATTTAATTTATTTAAAAGGCGCAAATCTAAAATGGGTTAAAGAGGTGCTTCCGAATAGTTTGAAATTAATTTAAACTAACTGGAAGTTCTTCAAGCTAGTCAGCTTAGGGATAGTCCGGGAAAAAATTAAAATAAAATAATTAAAAAGCCAATTTAAGAATTATAAAGAACTTTCTAAAACAAAGTAATGATCAAATGAGTTATCTCAAAAGCAATAATGATTACATGACAAAAACTCTGACCCATAACCTCTTCCCCAACAACTAAACTAAACCCTTCTCAATCATTCTCCTACCTTTGATCATAGAGCCAGTATAGACAAAAATTATTAAATATTAGGAAAGAAAGAAAAAAGAAAGAATGATAGCAGCAAATCTTAAGCACAAAAGAATGTACAAACATATACTGCTTCCTTTGATGTCTTCTCAGGAATTAAATCCTCTAAAGTCTAAACCATCCATTTTACTTACACCAGCCTATGTATTCCATAGAAAACTTTTATCCACTACCTCTTGAAAGTGAATCTTGACGAGTCAGAGCATAGTTTCCACTTGCAGGTGATTGATTCTCACTATCAACAATTTTTGCCTTTGAACAAAGGAACAAGAAAGAAGATGCGTATATTGTGATGTGCCACATGCTGTAAACAATGTACAAGACCAAAACATCAAAAGACCGGTAGAAGGGGGAAAAAAACAAGACATGGATTCAGTTCCTCTCAGATTCCTAGGAAATTGACAGCGGCAATTTGAAAATAATACATGAAGGCCTTAAGTCTCATACACAATATGTCTATCTCTCTTTGAAATCGACACGGTCAATTTCTAAAGAATTGAGAGAATTCAAATGAGATAAGTGCACACTGGGAAACAAGTTACCTATGCCAAAACCAATATGTTTGACTAGTTTCAAGCTTCCAGCTTATGCCAGCCATGGACAATGCCACAAAACCAGCCAATAAGAAACCCCATCGGAACCGTCTCAGAAGCGTCTTCATGAGATTATAGAGCCGTTGCTTTATAATTTCCAAGCTGCAGTAGAAATTCATACATTCCTAATGTTAGCAGTGACTAGACACTAAGTAACCTGTCTAGAAGATGCTCCTGAGTTACATCAGCACACAAGGTAACTCTGAAAAGACCTGAAAAGTTGTTTTCCTAAATGGCATTTGAAGCAGTCATGAAGAGATCATTATTTCAAATACCACTTTCCTTTTTCTCTCCTAGGAATATTAACTGTTACAACAGTGAGAGTGTGATGGTTAATCTGTAGTGAATCCCAGGTTTAATGGTGTAAAGATGCAATCAGCCGCATAATGCAATTTCAATCTATACCAACACCATATTATCAGATCAGGGTAAATATTTCTATTATCTGTGCCACCCTTTGTGGCTTTGTGTAACCTAATTTATAGTTACAAAAGTCAATCAATTTCATGTACAAGTCAAAGTTGACGTAATAAGAAGAAAAATAAAGACAAAGTTGACTGCAGAATGAAGGGGAATAATAAAGAAGAAACAATCAAAACATCAGAACAATACAAGAATGACTCTTCCGTCAACTTTGGTCTATGCATGCCATTATTAATTAAGTAGAGGAAACTAGTGTCCAGAAAAGGAAAAAATAATAAGGAGAGATAGCTCACCTGTTAATGGAATTTAATGAAAACCCAATTGAGAAGGAAAGTGACCTATACTTTGATGAGATTTCTATCAACCAACCAATAAGAAGACCAACGCCCCCAATGACTATTACAAGAACTATGTTAGAAGACCTGTGCAATTCAGCCAAAAAAAAAAAAAAATTACCTACCAGTACTCTTAACATCTTATACTGTAAATAACTACACGAATATCTGTAATAAATAGTCTAGTATACCTGGTTGCTTTTGTTGCAGCCATGAGAGCTGTAAGGATAGCAACTGCCGCATGAATTGCCCTCTTAAACACTTCATCAATGGTAGCAAGGTAAACAAAAGTGCTAACCACAGCCATGAAAGATAGCCAGAAGTCCATGAACTGAAAGATTGTTATGTAATATGTAAAACCATACTAATCCTTCAAAACAAAGTTATAAAGAGAGTGTACGTTCCCATATGCAAAAGCAATTATTGCACTGTCTTAATGTCTTAATTTTCCAGATATCAATATTCTATAAAGCAAGTCACTTTTTGGACCCCACAAGAAGTTATGTGTATGTGCTAACAACGATTGATAACAATAGTTATCACATCTGTTAAGAACACAACTCCCTTAAGGCAGTCGACCATCTTCTTAATTGCATTTCTATAAGATTTCCAGCTCAAAAATATTTATTTCCACATATTAAACAAACAACGGAAGCAGAGCTCTAACCTGCAAGACATTGTAGTTCAATGCACACCACGTGCCTACATCACAAGCGTGGTATAGTGCACTCGAAATTCCACTGGATGTGAATAAAATCCACTCTGCAAATGCCTGCATGAAGGGAATTATTGGTTCAATTGCGACGTATAAGTTATACAGGGATCATTTTTCAATCAGAGATTCAAGACTAATAATCATTAAGAGTTAAAATAAAATTACTTCTTTTATTATTTCAATTCAAATATTTTATGACACAAGATTCTAAGGTTGCCAATCTCCACCTCAGTTTGTTATTTTAAATAGCTAGATTCTAGAATCAGGAACTAGAATCAGGAACTCTTCTCAACATATTAGTTTATATGTTAGTTTTAATAGTTCCAACTTTCAAGATGACGCCGTAAGTTAATTCCTGTATGTGACCGAATACTTCAAGATGCAACCTAACCTAAAGTAGGAAGGTTAGAGACTGTTATAACCAAAAGATTCCACAATATTTCTGACGTCACCCTAGAAAAGTCATAACCCCGTCAAACAAGTGGAAGGCAACAAAAACCTTTTGCCGAAGTGCCCAGTATGCAGGAAATATGGCTGCAGCATTAGAGGCAATGAGGAAAATTGATTCCCGTACATGTCCTACACAAATTTTCAATTAGTTGATTAGGAAAGGAAATTATAAAATATAGTACCATCAAAAGAATGCTTTGCAGCGAATCTGATACACAAATTTGATAAATAGTGTATGCATTTGTCAACCTGAAGAACAAAGCATATTTGGTTTTCAATTTTTTATAATTATATATATATATATTTTTTTTTGCCAAATTGTATAATTAGAAATTAATTCAATGGTCTATGTTTCTTATTGTAGACCCCTCTGTCTGAGATCACACCATTCAAAAACCGGTGGGCGAACTGATTAATTAAACAACCACAGAGACCACAGAAACAATTCGATTACTTTTTCCCAGAACACTCCTCACACAAAATTAGAAGCAAGTACAGATGTCCAGGCATATGCAGAAAAAGATGGTTATACCGCTTATATGAATTTGAAAACTAGATATTTTAGCCAGCCAGATGGATGCTTCCTCTTTGAAGGATATTAGTCTAAGTTGAATATATATCCAGGAAACCAGATAAATACAGCATGGCAGTGAAGAGAATGAACAACTTAGATAGTTACAAAAATAATCAGAGTAAAGATATCTGAAAGAACAAGACAAAATAATATATGTCTAAAGTTAACATTCACCTCGATGTGATACAAGTTCAATGCTACAGTCAAAGCCTCCATGGTTTCGGTCACAAGAGCAGAAGCTGAGGCCAAAAGGCAAACATTTAAACTAATGAAATTCTTTAAAATTTGGAGGAACAGATACAAGACAGGCCATCTGAAAACTGCACGTCATTCTTTTCCCTCATAATACCTCAATCACTATTCAATAGTTTGGTATTTAAAATTCTTGCCTGGAAAATAGAAATAAAGTATTGAACCATAATATAATTGATAATTAAGACTAGGAGAAGTGTTTAAAATAAACCTGTATGATGTTAGCCCACTTGCATCAAAAGAAAATTTGCAGTCCCCATGAGAGGAGCATCGCTTCGGGCATCTTTCAAGTGAAAGAGACATGACGGTCTGTCCCTTTGAAGAAACAGTACTGGTATTAAGATGTCTTAGACCAAAGCCCCACATTCCTTCTCTAGCATAAATAATATAAAAATCAATCTTGTCATCACTTGACTCATATAACACAAAAAACATAGATGGATCGCTCCTCCTTGTCTTGTTAGCATAATAATAATCCCAATTGTCAAGAGATGGCAATCCACCAAATCTGGCATATACTTCATAACTAATCTTCGAATCAGAGGATAGTCGAATGTGAATATTTCCTCCAGCAGCTCCATGAGGAATGTCCAAAAGAAAGTAAGTCCAGGTGTTATCAGGTTGTCCTACGTATGATGAATTGCTTAATAGTGGCTCGAGAGGAAAAATAGCAGAATATGAGGGCACTCGTTCACCAATTGGCAAATAATATGATTCAAAGGGGGTAGAACCTCTCCTTAGAACTGTCTGCAAACAACCATTCTCACCTTGTCAATAAAATACTCATGTGATTAAATTTCTTCAAGCATCAAGACAGAAGTTATTCTACCACAATGCGTTCTTAATATTAAATCTATGTCAATAAACCAGGAAAACATAGCTTAATAACCTTTAGCTTCTAATATATTGTAACCTCTAGGATGGTGTAAGTGGAAAATCCCTGTGAATAATTAAATTTCTATATAATATTCAAATGTTGAGAGCATGTCCATCCATCTTTAATTTCAATTTTGGGATAAATAATTCAAATATCAGGTTATCCTTCCAAAATTTTACATCTATATTTTCAAAACCAATAATCAAGATACAAGTATTGCAAATTATATTTTCATTCTACCCTTAAAATTTATAGCCTCAAGTAAAAATAAATGTGCAGAAGAAATATCCACTATACAATTCTTTTTCAAATAGGATACACTGACATATTAATATAGTGTGTTATCATAATAAAGAAAGCATCTGAGGTGACAGTGAAAATGAAAAATAGAGGCAGAGTTTCATTTTGCAAGCAATCCCACCTGAAGCATGAAGCTTTCCAAGGTACAATTTGGTCCAGCTTTTCCAGATGCGCATTCAAGCACTTGTGATTCCATGGAATAGCAAACCCTTACATCACCATTCTGTGACTCTCCGCTATTTTTTGTAAGATTAACTGGAATTATACTAATGTACCAACGACCAATAAGGGGTGAATGAATAACCAAAGGAGCTTTATTTAAATTATAGGAATAGTCATGCAACGTTACTGAAGGTATGGCACCATGCCGAGCAAAACACATTAGATTAACATCATTTGCACCGGAAGTGATATTTGCTGCCACAATGGTCATCTCTTCCACCACATTCATTATATCCAACGAATATAATTTTGGTACCCCTTCCCAAACACAAACAGTTCCAAAATTATTTCTGCATGTCACAATATTTTCCACCGTTGACTTGTTCACTATTGAAGTATTAGAGACTGAGCATGAAAGTGGATAGACAGTACTGTTGCAGAATTTGCCCCTCATCATTGAATTTGTGCATGCTTCAACACTTATATTGGCACTGAATGAGTATGCTGGGCCTCGGATAATCTGCACAGACATTGAAGCAGCTCTTATAATCAGCTTCTGGCTGACGCATCAAGACCCATTTTTGAAAGGGACAGTGTGAGGTTGATGCAAAAAGTTCAGGAAAACTTTTTATCCATTGATTGCAGATAAAATTGCTTGCTTAAAACTAAGTCATGGATTGAATTGGGTAGTTGTTATTGCAGAAGACTTTAATCATAACAATACTGATAAAAAAAATTATAATTTAGGAATTATTATAAAAAAATGAGAAAATATTTGATCCCAACTATATAATTTAATGTATAATTGAAGAAAGAAATACCACAATGAATTTTACCATTGACCCCAACATCCAAAAATAAGAACAAAAACAATAATTCAACTTGAAGTGAAAAGGCAGCAACTGCACCAACATCGACAGTCAACAACACAGGACTTAAAAGGTTATTAAACTGTTTGAAACAAGTCACCAGCAAACAAAAGTAATGTTCAGTGGTTTAGATAATAAACCATACCATCTTTGACTGCGTGCTTCTAGCTCCAATGCCATTGAAAAGACCAATGTACCAAATGCCTGGAGATATCTGAACTATGATATGTTAAATTCTCAGTCTATTTAAAAAGTACAATAAACAAATCACCTTTGAACAAAACACAGATTCCCACCCCAGAACCCCCCCCCAAAAAAAAAAATAGTACCGTAAGCATTTTACTACTAACTATTGAAGCATATAAAGTCATATCATTACTGGCATCCAAGTAAGAGACATACTAAGCTTAAAAATATAATATCAGAATAAGAAAACGAAACTATAGCTGCAACTAAAAGGACCTCTAACAATACCTGCTCATTTGTCAATTTCACAGTGATATTTCTCTGCATGGGAAAGCACTGCTCCACATCAAGACCGTTCATTCCTATAAAAAAAGGAAAAAGACATGAAATAGAACAAAACATTCTTGGGTTGAGCATTCTTCCCTTGCATGATTGCCAAAACATCACAGTGAAGCTCACAAAATAATAGAAATTGAGGCTCAACATCCTTTAAGCAAGGTCTCAAATCCAAGTCTTGTGTATAGAAAAAACCATGTTAGGGGAGGATTTTCCCCTAATTGGGACTTGACCCGGCTAAAATCCAAAGTTGGTAATACTGTAAACTAGATTAGTTTGCTACAAGATTAAGCAAATTAGAAATTTTAATTAAATGCACACTAACAACCAACCAAAGGAAAATTATCTCAATAATATGTCGATACTAATTGAACAAATGAAGGAATATCTTTGGGGGCACAAGTAGTTCATTGTGCTAGCAACTTAGAGAGCGCATGCCATACACTAAATCTAACAAAATGGAAGAAAACAAAATGATAGATATATCACTAACAAGCACTTCAAATAAACTACAAGCTGAAAGGTTAACTGGCTTAGGTTGTTCGTACCTGAAATGGCCAGATCTTTCAGAGAAGTGTTTAGCGCATCAGGGAGTGGAGGGCTTCCATCTCTAAAGCATATTATTGGCAGTATGCTTTTTGAAACCCTTTCAACTGTTGAGGCATCCTGAGCAAACGAGGGAGGCAAATATGTCATACAGTAACATGAAACAGGATAGAAAAAAGAGAACGATTTTATTAAACGAATCAAGAGAAATTAAAATCACATATAATCAAAACAATATTACTCAAACACACATCCATACACATGATAGTATTCTAAGGTGATTCAATCCATCAGGTACTGCAAATATACTTACAAGGTCAACATCTGAGTTCAGGGATATAGACACAGCAGAAAAACCATGGCGGCAAATCAACTGGGACAAGGTGTGAGACAAGAAAAACAAGTAAGATCTTACATAGCCCCATAAATATGTAATTAAAAGTCCTTAAACTTTTTCTTCTAGTAGAAACCTTACATCTTGTAACCAGCCTTGTGAATGTGAATTGCCGAAGCAGAGAAAAAAGTTCAGAATCTTAAGTGATATCACCTCCTATATATCTTTCCAATTTAAAATCTTTAGTAAATGATGTCAAGCTTATTATCATCTAATTCTTGCTTGTGCAGGGTTCCATGGATAATAGCCAGATATAAATGTAACAAATTAGGTATCCAACTATTTAAATTTGATAACAAAGGCAAAAGGTAAATATTAATAAATATCTGGTAGGTATAGAAAGAGGCATGACATGGGGCAGGTAAGTAACTCACATCAGATGAAACTGCAAATAATGGGAATTCTTAATCGAGTTATATCTCAAAGGGTAGCAGCTAACAAATAAGAGAAAACGAACAAATCTAAAGTCAAATAAGATCACGCCACATGTTCATTGCAATATGGTTTCTTCCAGTGCACTGATTGTCTCACTGTAACTGACAAAATATTGACAACAAAACGATTTATACTTTTCTTTCTGAAATTTTTATGGGAGCAAAAAACTAGAGTTTCACACTTGGAGAATTAAAGTATGGAACTAACCCCACTCATCCACGTTAATTTGAAGTTAGATTAAACCAAAATATAGAAACAAAATACTGAGATGAGCGAGACCATCAAATTGTTGCCGCAATGAATAATTATTTTCCACAACTCTTTAACACCAAGAACTGGAAGATTGGAATCACATAATCAGATTGTGCCGATTGAAGACAAAATGACATCAAAAGAGAACATTGAGTTAGTGGCGGTAAAAACCGAGTAGAACAAGAAAAAGGCAATCCTTATGTAAATCAAAATTCAATTACCATCCATTAGAATCCAATGGAATTATGCTTCATGAACAATAAAAAACAAAGCATATCAGCCATGCAAACGAAAGGGTCACTATCAATTCGCATACCCACCTCTGATATATCGCAAATCAAAGGGCCTGAGCGTGGTATGAGGGTAGCTGAAGCTGGAAACAGTAAAGGTGTTGCCAGTTATCAGTTCATCAGCACAGAGAATGCCCAATGGAGAAGAAAATAGCGCCAAAAGAATGAGAATCAAATTGCAAAGATGGCATTGAGCCGAATGACAGCCATGTGTTTCTTATTTTTGTTTTTAGAGCAGCTCTCAGCTTCTCAGAGCATTGAGGTGCAGAGAGCGGAACGCGGAAGAGGGTATTAGTGGTTTAATTAGTAATTAACGAAAATCCGGCGTCAGTGAAGTTAAAAACCGAAAATTTTTGGTAAAATCACACAGAAGTCCCATAAAACAATTGTAATAACTAAGAAGTCCCACAAAATACAAAAATAATTATAAAATCCCATGGTCCTTAATTATAAATAAATTTTGATGTATATTTAGTGAAATGCCCTTATTTAAAAAAGTATCTACGCTGTCCCCATTCAATCATCTTCCTCTTCATCCTTCTTATTCTCCAAAATTTGACTCCAATCTTGCTATGTCAGTCTCTCTACCAAAGTGGCCATTGGTATTTGGTAGAGAAGATTTGCTCAACATTCTTGGAATTGCACATGACAATGACTTGCTTTCCAGCAAAGAAGGGAATAGGGAATAGTGCAGATGCAACTTTGGTTAGTGCCAGCAGGTTTGCAAAGATTGTCAAATAATAACGATTCATCATTTATCAATCTCCTTAGGCATGCTGAAGAATGGGCACGCGAGAGGGTTTTTTTTTTTCATTTTTTAAAATAAGGATATAGTTGTAAGTACACTAAAATTTACTGGTTAGGTCAAGGGATTTTAGAATACTTTTTATATTTTATGAGACTTTTTTTGTGCTTACAGTCCTTTTATGGGGGCTGTGTATTATTTCCCAGATATTTCAGGTAGTTTGGTGTCCATCTCATGTTATGATATTTTGAAGAAAAAAAATAAATTATCTGTTTTTAATTTCACTGAAATACGCTTTTGTTCTGGTCTCTTTGTCATTATTGAATTGACTTATCCCCGTAAAGTATTTGAGGCTTAGTTGGAGCGATGTTGGGACTCCACCCTACGCGCGCCTAGGAGCGCGGGGACAGTCCATTTCATTTTTTTCCATTCAATCCAAATACATATCTAAAGATTGTTTTCTTTGATATTAGCGTAAATAAAATTACTATTCATCAAACCCTATTTATAAATTACTCTTAATATATTTTATTAATATTAAAAAATTTTAAAATTTATTAATTTTATAATTTTTATCTTAAAATTTAATAAGTTTACAATTTTAACTCTATTAAATATATATATTTTAATAATATTTTTTTCTTTAATATTTAATGAAAGATAAAAAAATAATGTGATTTACAAAAAAATTTAAAAAAATTTCTATTTTATAAATAGATACGGCTAAATAAAATTAATAGCAGCCCTAACCTGTAAGATAATTCTCTAGGTTAATGTATAATGGTATACTCAAATAATCTTAAATAAAGTTATGATTTTTTTTTACCCAAAAATTTACATTGGACGTGCAAACGTGTACGAACTTGACATCCTAACAAGCAGATAATAAAAAAGTATAAAATAGGGAGAATTTCATTAAAATTTCTTGGATATAATATAATGTCAATCAGCTCTCAAAAATTTTGAAATTTCTCTATGAGCCCAAACACTAAAATGAAAAAATTATCTCAATCAAAATGCCTTTCAATTATAATAACATTACTCAATAATAAGTCAACTCACGGTTTTTACAAATGGTATTAGCAAAATAACAAATCAACTTACAAGTTTTACAAGTAATATTAATAAAATAAACATAACTTCTTATTATTCTCATAATATTACTTACAAAAATTATAACTTGACTTGTTATTTTATTAATATTACTTATAAAAATCATAACTTAACTTATTATTATAGAAATGTTACTTGTAAAAATTATAACTTATATTGTTATTTTACTAATATTATTTTAAAAACTATAACTTGACTTGTTATTATAATTATGGTACTTGTAAAATTATAATTTGACTTATTATGCTAATAATGTCTTGTAAAAATCATAACTTAACTTGTTATTTTAATAATGTTTATTATAATTGAAGGGCGTCTAGGTTATTCAAGCAAGAGAATTTATTTCATTTCAATGTTACGGGATTATAGTAAAATTTTAAATTTTTTGAGGCCCAATTGAAATTATGTCATATCTAATGAACTTTAATGAAATTTTTCCCTGTAAAATATTAACTTACTTGAATCAAATAATCTATAATATGTTTAGATTAATGAAAATTTAAATTTAAACTAAATTCTTCATTCAGATGAACAAATATTTGTGAATTCAAATACAAATTTCATTTTAAATTATAATTTATTTGTAATTTTAAATTCTTTTTACACCCGGCCATTTAAAATTCTAACAATTTAAATATTTTTTCTCTTTGTGTTTTTATTGTTGATGTTTTTATAACTCTAGTATTTTTTTCTCATCTTTTTTTGATTAAAAAAACTCATCATTTTTAAATTTTTATTTTTATTTTGAATTTCATTTCATTTCTCTCTTTGTTTAAATAAAGAATTTTAAATACATAAATTTTTAACGTCAGATTTGAAATATAAGATTTCAAATTAAAATTTAAATACATCAATCTAAACATTACCTTAAATAAATTACAAACTTTTAGCCAAGAAATTTATGTTGGAATAATATATTAAAAATTAACAATATGCCATTTCCAAATATGAAAATAATCGAAAAATGTCGTTGGTATTGTTTTTGTGGTGGAAAAAAATTCGCTAATAACTCAGCATTCACTCAGTTTATAAAATTCTTTAAAACTATGAGAATTATCCTTCTAATCTGTTATGGAAAAGATGTGGCAATGGTCGATTCTTGAAAAAAATAAAACACTTTATGTGGCGACTTAACCATAAAAGATTCCCTTCCAACTCACTCAGAGCCAAGAAGGAATCAATGAGAATGATTTATGCCTTTTTGAGTGTAATAATGAGGAAACACTTTTACATGTTTTTTGTGATTGTGAGATTGCTAAATCAGTGTGGTCTACTTTAACTAATCTTGTATCTATACCTTCTTTTTTCACATGTGATCTACAAGTTTGGTTGAACAAGAATGCTACAAATGCTTTCGATGGTACAATAATGAATAATTGGAAATGGTCTACAATATTTAGCACCACTTGTTGGGCACTATGAAAAAATAAATGCAAAGGAGCAATTGAAGGGAAAATGATTAGTGCAGATGAACTATTCCACAATGTCAAGTATTAACTCATGGAATATGTGAACAATGGGAGGCTTTAAGCACATAATTTTTTAGAATTGCAAGGATTTTGAAGACAAATGGAATCCTCCAACAGACAACTATCTTAAATTAAATGTGGATGGCTCAATCAATCAATAAGGACATACCAAAGGAGGAGGTATACTTCAAAATACAACTACTAATTAGATCTTTAGATTTCAAAAATGATTTGGATACTATCCTCATACTGCCACTGAATTTTGGCTTTGAAAAAGGAATTACAATTGTGTAAACAACTCAACACAACCTAGGTTCAATGTCGTATGGATTCTTTAAAAGGTATCTGACTCTAAGAAGGAGGAGAGGTAATCACCCATTGTGAGCTATTATTCAGGAGATGAGAGGCTTGGTCTTTAGTGGTTGCAATGTGGAAATTATGCATTCACATAGAGAGATGATTGGGTTAGTAAGCTCAAAATAGAGAGAATGATATTAGCATTTGGCATGAACCTCTAATGAAATGTAATGACCTGTATTAGTCAGACAAGATGATGTAATTTTCTTTCAAGCTTAGCCCTATATTTATTTACTCCTGAAGAAAAAAAAAATAAATACGTTTCAGTGAAAATAATTTTATAAGTATTTTACATATTTCCAAGTTTCCTTATTATAATTATAAATTATTTATAAATAAGGTTAGAGTACATTTTTTATCTTCTAGTTTTACATAAGATTTTATTTAGTTTCTTAATTTTATAAAGTGTATTTTTAGTTCTTTAACTTTAATACTATTAGTTTTAAATAATTTTTTTGCACTAATAATTGTTGTTCTAAAAAAATTAAACTTAATAAGTCAATATTTGAGAATGTTTTGTTAATATTAAAGTTTAATGTATTGTTTTTTTTTGGGTGAAGAGACCAAACAGTTTTAGGATTAAAAGATTAAAAATATATTTTTTAAAATTAAAGGACCAAAATAAAAATTTATATAATATTAAAAGGCTAAACGTATACTTTAACTCTTAAATTAAACTAGCATGATCTTAGCCCTTGGGTTTAACTTTTATGTTTTTTTTTTAAATAGCATATCATTTTCATTCAGCAAATAATAAGTTAGGGAAGATCACACCCGATGCACTGTGCACTCAGGACAATCCTTATCAATGACAGGAAGTGTTTACGGATTAATTAGCATTCGCAAACATCTCCCGGACCTCATTATCGATAATACGTTTAGTAACCCGTCTTGTTCTCAGAAATAACTAGTCTCACTCCCCACGAAATATGCATGGATTTTATTAGGGTAAAAATGCATTGTTGTTCATAAAGTATTTTTAAAAGTATCTAATATCTTAAATATTTTTATATAATATTTTTGCTCCTAACATAATTGAGACGTAGTATTCTCCA